TAATCTTAGATCATGTTATAGAATATAATGTTATATTGATTGAGGTTATAGGCTCCTATATACAAAATAGCTTCTTTATTTCCTCTTCTGCTCCTTTTCACCCCTCACCCCTGTTCCTTTGGACCACTTCCCTACTGTAACAGATTCATCCTCTTGTCCTCTTTTATCCATCGTTTATTATTTTCTTTTTTATATGTTGTCCCCTTACTCAAACAATGACAGCTCCTGGCATGCCCCACATGTCTCCTAAGGTTCTCAGGGTGAAGCACCAGGCAAGGATGAGAGAAATAAAGCAGAGCTGAAAGTTGGGGTCAGGGGAGACCTCTCTCTCCTGATGGGAGAAAAGGAACTTATCCTTCACTGCAGGGCATTTATTTATACATTCAACAACACAGTGCCACGTGGTGCCTCTTTGACTAGCAACCCATGGCTTGAGTTCTCTGGATGCTTGGTGTTATTTTGGGCTGAAGCATCTTCTTACGTGACTTGCCCCACTGCTCTTTGTTCTTGGGGCAATCATGTGCAGGCCATGCTCAGCCCTGCATGTGTTATAATTCTCATTTCCCCATAAGGTACAATACGATATTTAAGCTTGTGTGTCTCATGTATTTTATTTAATATTATGTTTTCCAGGTATACCAATGTTTTTCTACAAATGTTAATATTTATAGCCAAGCAAGAGTATTCCAGTATATATGGATACCACATTTCCAATTGTCCTGCTATAAATATTGGTATATATGACCCAAAGACCAATATATACCAATAAATACCGGTATATTTATATGTTGACACCACCAGTGATACAGCTGGGTCATATAGAATTTCTAGTTTCAGTTTATTGGTATGTCTCTACACTGATTTCCATAATGGCTGTCCTAGTTTACATTCCTACCAACCACGAAGAAAGTTTTATTTTCCCCACAGCCTCACCAGAGTTTGCTATTGTAGATTTCTTAATGACTGTCATTCTTTCCAGATAAGATGGAATCAACATTGTTTTAAAATGCATACCTCTAATGGATAGAGATGTTGAACATTTTTTCATATATTTGTTGAGGATTTGTCTTTGTTTCTCTGTGACATTTGTTGATTTGTCTTGCCCATTTCTTGACTGGATTTTTAATTTTAGGTGGCTTAATTTTTTAAAATTCATTTTACAGGCCTGGGTCTGGTAATAGCTGGCAAAAAGTTTTATGCTGTTTTGTAAGTTGTCTCTCCACTTTATTCTTTTGCTGTAAGAAGCTTTTTAGTGTGATATATTCCCACTTCTTGATTCTTGCTTTTATTTCATATGCCACTGAAGCTGTTTAGAAAATCCTTTCTAAACATCCATGTCTTCGTGGGGATGTTTCTGCATCCTGTTTTCTGGTCTATTGATCTATGAAGCTGTTCTTGTTCCATTACTGTGTGACCTTTTCCACTACTGCTTTGTGGTATTGCCCTAAATCAGGCATCACAAGGCCTGTTGCTTGCTCTTGTTTCCCAGAATTGTTATTGCTACTCTGGGTATCATCTGGTCCCTTATTTATTTATTTATTATACCAGGAATCAAAGTCATAACCTCATGCTTGCCAGGCAGGAGCTGTGTCAGTGAGCTATATTCCCAACATGGTTCCATATGAATTTCAGACTCTTTTATGTCGGTCTGTAAAGTATGCTGTTGGCACTGAATTTGTATGACAATTTAGAAAGTATGACTATTTTAACAATACTGGTGCTGCCTATCCAACAGCAGAGGACATCTTTGCATCCTGGTGTCCTGTTCTGTCTCCTTTTTCAGGGGACTGAATTTTTATTTGTAGAGGTCTTTCATCCATGGTTACATTAATTCTTAGGTATATCATTTTTCTTGAAGCTAATGTGAATGGAATTCTTTCATAACTTCCTTCTCACCAAATTCTTTATTGGTACATACAAATGTTAATGATTTTTGTATGTTGATCAATATCCTGCTACATTGCTGAAGTTAATTATTAATTCTAAGAGCTTTTTGGTGAGATTCTTTGGGTTTTGTATGTAGAGTATCATAAATACTTGTATGCAGAGTATCATGTCATCTGCAAATAATGCTAATTTGAGGTTTTCTTTCCCTGTATGTATACACTTTGTTTCTCATGCCTGAAAAAGTGTCAGGTACTATGTTCAGTAGAAGTGGTGGTAATAAACATAACAGTCTGCTTCCTGATTTTTGGAGGAATAGTTTTGGTTTTCCCCATTTAACAAGATCCTGGCTGTTAGTGTGTCATAAATAGCTTTTATCATGTTTAGGAATGGTTACCGTATACCTATTTTCTTCAAGCTTTTTTTTTCATCGTGAAGCCATTTTGTATATTACTGAAAGCCTCTTCTACATCTACTTATATGATCATATGGTTTTTTACTTTGCTTCTCTTTATGTGATGTACTAACATTTACTAAGTTATGTATGTTGAACTATCCATGCATCTGGGATGAAAACTGCTTGATCACAATCTATAATCTTTTTGATAATGTGCTGCATCCTACTTGTTAATACCTTACTGAGTTTTACTGCATCTATGTTCATTAAGGATGCTGACCTATGGTTTTCTTTTTTCATTTGGTCTTTGTGCAGCTTTGAGATCAGTGTGATATTAATTTCCATAAGTGAATTTGGGAACAATTAATGTCTTTCCATATCATTGAAGATTTTGAAGAGTATTAGTGACACAATGTGATTAAAGATTTTTTAGTATCTCAACCATGAAGCCAGTAGGTCTTCGACATTTTATTTCATAGATTATTTATTATGGTGTCTATTTCATTGCTTGTTACTGGGTTATTAAATATGATCATGTATTCTTGGGTCAGTTTTCATAGTTTGCATGTGTCTGGGTATCTATAACTAATACTACTTTAAAATTTGCTAATTTGTTGAAATATAATTTTTCTAACTAGTTAGTGTCATCTGGATTTTGACAGTGTTGTATTGTTACCTTTTTGTTTCTATCTGCAAGACTTTTCTTTCTTTTTCATTTAAAATCTGCCTATAAATTATCTATTTTATTTATTCTTTCAAAGGAAAAACTCTTTGATTCAAAGAGTTTTTATTTTTTTTCTTGATTGTTGTATCTTCCCACTGTTATAAGATAGTATAAGTCAAAATATATTATAATAAGTCAATTTTTCCTGTGTAATTCTGTCTGCTTTTGCCTTAGATTGTTTTGGAGGGTAAGAGGTTAAAGATTATTACACATAGTTTGAGATTTGAACCATTATCACTATGTGGTGCTCCTGCTTGTCCTTGATGATCTTTTTGTTCTCAAATCAAATTGTCTGAAGGTAACAAAGCTATGTCCTCTTTTGATTAGGGATAACATAACAGATATACTTTTTAATACACTTAGACTCAATATTTAAATAGTTTCTAATAAATATAAATGAGTCTTATTTTTAATTCCCTCTGATGATTGTTATTTTCTAATGGTTCTTTTAAATTATTGACACTCATATTTTTGTTGATATAATAGCGATATCTACTATAGTCTTCCTCTCATCTATGCAATGTGTATTTTTCTTTTTTCCTATTTTTGTCTTTCATTCTTAGTGCATCTTTTAGTGTCTGTATTGAATTTATTTTTTACACTTTATTTCTTAGTATAACACTTGTACTTTCTTTACCATTTTAGTTTACATTCACTGTTTTCTCCAGTGCTGTTACTTTGCTATGTCAACTTCTTGTGTGTATCATTTTCTTCTATCTAAAGAACTTTGAAATTTAAGATAGATCTTCTAATGAAAACACTTCAATTTCTTTTTATCTGAGAAAGTGTACATTTCTCCATTATTTTTGAAGGATAATTTTTCATGGTACCGAATTCCAGATCTTTTTATCTTAGAAACATCTGAAAATTTTAGTCTACTATTTTCTTTTAGACTATTTTTAAGTAGTTGAATATGGTGTTTCTGTTTGTGTCTCTGCATTTTTATTCTGATTTCTTTCAAAATATTTATTTTTAGTTTTCTACAGTTCAAAAGTAACATTTCTGAGTACAGTTCTCTTTGGCACTTATCCATACTAGAGTTCTTTGAGCTTCATAATCTCTGGCCTGATATCAATATTCTTTTTTGGTCTTTTTCTGTTTTTATAGGTACCAGTGATTGAAGTCAGAACTGCCTGCTTGCAAGCCAGGCACTTATGCTGCTGAGCTAAATCCCCAGCCCCTTGATATCAATATTAACTGGGGAGAATTTTCAGTCTTTGTCTGTTTATTATATTTCTTATGTTTCTCATTTTTTCATATTATGCACATTTATAACTTTTATGTTTAACTGAATAACGTTGTTACTTTATTTCAAGTTATGTTTTCTAGTTTAATTTCTGCTTGCTTTTAACTGGGGAAGTTAATACTGAAATATCCTGAAGCTTAAAAATTTTTCTTCTCATCAATGTCCAGTCTACCAGTTAAGACCAAATGAACATTGCTTCTATCACAGTGTTTTTCAGTGTCTTATGTTTCTTGTTTGCTGTGTCTTAGCATACTCACTGCATTTTTCACTGATCACCTAGTCCTGTGTATTGTTTTCTTTATCCAGTATAGCCTATTGCACATTAATCGTAAGTGACTTACGTTGCTTTTCTAATCATACTAATGACTCTCTTATTTCTGAGTCTGACTCTGTCTTCCTAACTGTGATTTTACATTTTAATGTGTGAAGTACTGAAAATAAGGCTTTGACAATGTAGTAACAAGATGTTAATGAATGAGAGATTTTTAAGGTTTTACTTTAAAGAGAACAAAGCAAAACAAAATGAAACAGAATAAAGCGAATCAAAACAAAACCATGAAAGCAATACAGACTTTCAAAACAAGATAATAGATAATCAACGACTATCATAATATCTCATATTATCTTTAAAATAGCTGTACATACAATAAGACAATAATATCAAGCAAAACAACAGAATAAAAGCAATCAAAAAACACAATACAGTGATACAGGACTTCAAAACAAGAGAATAGGAGATGAACAATGGCTACCATAATATATCTTTTTATTGTAGAAATAATTTCCCATACAACCTGACACAATAGAATCTAACAAAACAAACAGAATAAAATGAAACCAAACCAAACAATGAAAATGATGCAGAACTTCAAAACAAGTTAATAGGAAATTAACTATAGCTACCACCTTCCCTTTTTAGACATTTCCTCCCCTTTCACCTTCACAATATCTATTGTACATTTTGGATCCCACTAATTCCTTCAGTTTTTCCTTATCTTTAAATTTAAGGGGAATAAAACAGCAATAAAATGCATCTAAACAGTGATAAGACAGTAGGAAATGTACCACAGTTACTATATTACATACTGTTGTCCTGTAAATAGTTGCTTGGTTTAGGCTTGCTAAGTCAGTCAAACAACAGTGCCTCCGAGTCAGCTTGCTGCTCATAGGGGAAGCTGTACTCCTCACCCCACCCCATGCACCAGCTGGCTCACAGGCAGGGCCTTTGCTTCCATCTCAGCTCTCCCCACCTGCACTCTGAATGGCTTATAGGCAGGGGCAGGAAGGAAAACACTTTACAGTCTTATATCTCGCTTATCTTTTGGTGAAGCTATGCATGTAACCTTTACATTACATAAGTCCTTAACCACCACCATGGATTCGTGAAGTGAAATAAAATGGCTAGAATAAAAACAAAAGCAAGGGTCAGTATTTTTCTTTTGTCACATGGAAGATTGGAGGGAGATATTTTGTTTATGTCATATCAGTAAAGCTTTGAAAAAACCCAAGCAGTTCAGTTTTTGTAAAATAATTTATACTGAGAAAACTTTGTTGGGTACAGAAAATGCTGGTCAAAATAATTCTTTTTCTATCTTTAAATCTACAATAGAGTTTCTCTCTTGTATTTACTATAGGAACCAGGTGAGACTTGTTTAGGTAAAACACAAAAGTATTGTGGCTAAATCTCATTGAGTATTTTAATTCTCAGAATGACACTGAACTTCCAAAAATTCTTCAACTTCAATTCACAGTTTCTTAGCCTGACATTTGGCCACATTTGTAGGATCCTGAAGTAACTCACTGGGTTGTCTGTATTCACCTGGCTCTCTAAGTGTGCTGAGGACAAATTCGTTGTCCTGTGCTTTCACTTCTTTTACAGTTCTCAATCTGGTAACAGATAGAGCTTGTCCTCTTCCTTCAGTTATTTTTTTTCTGATTGTTAGAATAGAATGTTGAATCTAAGTTTCTCATTTAGTGGAATATAGGAAGTATTGTGTTGCATTTTGGTATGAATGAATGAAAAATTCATGGGGGAATTGCATCATTCTGAGCCACAAAAGTCAGGGAGTTATCAGTTGCAGATCAATTCACTGTGGGTCACAAAACGGTAGTGATATTGATTCAGCTTGTCAGGTGGTATTAATAGATTAGACTTAGATGTGATTTAAAATCCACGATCACTATTGTGGAGGAAAAATAACTTGAAATATGAGATAGCAGACTCCTATTTTACATGTCAAACTTATCAAAATTTGTATGAAAAATATTTGGAATCTGAGCATGTTAATACAGTCTTATATGTGTACTTCCAAATTCATTTTATTATTTTAAGTTAACATATGTGACTTTTGTAATGTTAATTTTTTTTTTTTTGGTGATACATCAGTGTCTTTATTGATATCTAGGTCATGATTTGAGAAATAAGTTAGGGTTAAATTAGTAGTGCAACGATTTGGAGGAATAAAAACTCCAGCCCAGCCACCCACAGTCCCACCGGCCTATAGCTGCTGAGCTCTGAGTACAATAACTATGACCTCTTGACCAGTGGCCTGGGGTTCTTGTGGCCCCCAGCCTTCCTGGCTGGAGACAGAGTCCTGGTCCTGGGGGCACGAGCCTTGGAAGCAGTGGCGGCTTTGGGGGCAGCAATGACTTTGGGTCCAGGCCCTGGGGCGGCCTTCACTGCGGGTTTTGTACCCTTCAGGGAGGCAGCACATTTTCCAGGCTTGGAGGCTGCAGTTGAAGTTTTCCCAGGGGCTCCTGTGTCTTCTTGCCTGCTCCTGTTGCCTGAGACCTTGGGCTTCCTGCCAAGCTTGTGGACAGTTGAGGAAGCCCCAGTTGACTTTGGGGGGTCCTTCTTGGCTACAACCTGCTGTGGCCCAGTGCCTTTCGCCTTGCAGCCTCCCTGAGGGGCTGTCTCTAGGGCTTTGCCCTGTTTGCGGGAAGCTCTTGCTTCACATGGTTCTGCAATATTTTTCTTGCTGGAGCCAGCAGGCCCTGTCCGAGTACTTTTCCTGCTGCACTGCGGCTTCTTCTGATGCTTGGGGACAAGCTTGAAGCTGCCAGTGGCACCCCTGGCCTTGGAGTTGATGGGCCTGGCAAGGAGGCCACGGCTCATGCCTGTGGCAAGGGCCTGCTTCAGTAGGTACTTGAAGCAGGTGACATCGACTGTGGGGTACTTGTGCAGGATGTAGAGCTTGATGGCTGCCACTGAGGTGCCCCAGCGCTGCTCTCCTGCCTGTAGGGCCTCCAGCACCATGCGCAGCACTGTGGGTGGCAATGGGTCACCATGACCCTGTTTGAGTTCCGGCCTGCTGGCTTTCCATACTCAGGGGGCTCTGCTGGCCCTGCTGTGGAAGAGGAGGAAGAGGAAGAGGAGGAAGAAGAGTAATTGGTGATGCTCCCAGGAGCCATCTGAAGGACACTTATAAATGACCACCTCCGCTGTTCACATACCGTTAATTTTCATACTGAACCTCTAGCACTCATTTTGTCAATGTTTATACACAAATCATTGGCTATATCACAGTGCATAATGAAAAGTTATTTTTGTGGAAGAAATGTTTGAAAATCAATTGAAGCAAGAGTAAGGATTGTTAGTATTTTTAATTAATGAGTTAACCTTTTGATGGTTATTGTAATAATGTATTACTTTTTTCCTGTATTTACATTGCAATAAAATTAGTAAAATGAAACTTTTCATAAACATTGTCAATTGGCTTAAAGTTCAAGTTTAAAAAATGACAATTAAGGCATGAATACACAAAGATTTTGAATCAATAATTTAATTACTGTTATCCTAATTAGAACTTGGAATCCTCTGTTTCAGAAAGCAGAAGAATACCTCAGCATTTTAATTATAGGGCTATATATAGAAATATATTTGAGCCCTCAGTTAGAACTATATTATTATTTCAACTTTCATTAATGGAAAAATTTACTTTTAATGATTTTTATTGTACTGATTTAATGATTTCTATTGTACTGATTTAATGATTTTATTATCTTATAATCAAAAAAGTGTCTTATAATGAAAATTTTAATTGTAGTTTAATATCAAAATGGTTTCTTGAGCTTTTGAAATATCAATAGTACTGTGTCTGCAATTTCACCTAATTCTGAACTTTGTAAGGACTCCTAAATGCTTCCTAGTGAGCAAAATGTTAAATACCACCTATTTAAAGTACAAAATTATTATGCCTGGTGTGCTCAAATACAATCATTTTACATTTTTTCACTCAGAAAAAGTACACTTTTGTAATGACTACTCACTTTATTTCTGAATTTTGTCTACTCAATTCCATATGAAACAAATACAATTGAATTGATCATGTTCTCATCACAAAAATGATAATGAAATGAAATCTAGCTAATTAGCTAGATTTTTTTTATTTCATAATGTATATAAACTTCAAAGCATATGGACAACATATATGATATATATATATATATATATATATATATATATATAATTCAACATAAGAAGCCATTTTAAAATATTTTTATAGTGTATGCTTTAGTTTATATCTTAAATGTCCCTCAATGGCTCATGCATTAAAGGCTGTGACTTAGGACGCCCTGTAACTTTAAATGGTGGCATCAGAAGTTAGATATTAGCAGAAGTGCCTTAAAGGGGATATGTAATTCTAAAACCCTCCACTTTTTCTCTTTGATTTCTAGATGCCATGAACTGAACATACCTCTCTGCCACATGTTTTTCTAAGGTGTTTTGCACCACCACAGCCCCATATCAACAGAGCCAATTGAATATGGACTGAAATCTTTGATGCTATCAACTGATGTAAGACTCTAATTTTTAACTACATTTTTAACGTAAATATTTTGTCACAATGATGGAAACTGACAAACAGTGTATTTGAATAAAATACAAATGGAAGGAAGCCGTTGGTCTTAAAATGAGTAATTATAACCCTGTGAATGTGTAATGAAACATTACATATTACTAAATGCATAAAGCATTATAATATATTTATTATGTAACTTATATGTATTACTTGATTTTATTATATGTCACATAGGAGTTAGCTAATGTTATGATTATCTATCCTTTCCCAGTAATCACACATATAATAATCCTGGAAATACTGCTCCTTGAAGAGATACTTACTTCCTACAATACCAAATGACTGTCATGGAAATATATGCAAACCAAAAAATCCAAATCCTGTATGGTGAACTATGCCCTTTATTCAGCTCACACAGATTGAAATAATATCTTCCTGCTTTCCTACAATCCAGGGCCAGCAATTAGAGAATTTCTACATACCAAAGCCCTGGGCTTGTTTCACATGGAACAATCCTTCATCCAGTGCCCCTGCCTCATCTCATCTTCACTTTCTCAAAAAAATCACAGTAAATTTTCTTATCCATGACTTTGTCATCACTTATTCTGCTACTTTACTAAGCCTGGTACTTTCTTGTGCAGTTCTCCAGAGATTACAGTTCTCCTTTTTCTTTTGAATACTATTTATTCAATACCATTAATTTCCTTAACTACTGACCTCATCAAAGCTGAATAAATTCTCCATTTTAAATACATAAATGTTTAAGTGTGTTTCTGTATTTGATCTATGTGTCTAATAACAAGGATTTTGTGGTATAATTCAACAATTTTATCATTTCTGACTTCTGTGCTGATAAAATATTGTCTATACTGAACAAATAGTTTTACAAAATACATTAACTTATTTATATTACTTTGGCCTCCTAAAATATCAGTTAATGGTATTAAAAATAATTCAAATCAGTTTTAAAAACATAAAATTTAAAGTACTGAAATTTACTAATGCAACATGAAAAGCACTTTTTACTAAAACTGTCAGTAGACTTTTTCTGGAACTATTTGTAAGGTTTTTATTAAAGGAATTTAAAATTAAGAAGAAAAACATATAACCTCACACTTAGTTTTCAAAAGGCCACATTTTAAACCTGCTTGAAAACTAAAATATTGCTAAATAAACAAGGTTTTATTATTTTATAGTTTTTCATTTTGAACAAGAAGTTTATTGAAGAAACAAGGCGCTTGACTTAAAGGAAAAAATATTGAAGAATCTTTTTTTAAGAGTGATGTACAGCTACGTATGTAGCTGATTGTTGCAGGTCATACAGAAAAGTCATAAAATTGTCCTTGCTTTACAGTGATAAATGAGAAACTTGAAATTCTGCAGTCAAACAAGATATGCCAGAATGTTTATGCTTTTTGTCTCTTCTGCTAAAATTTTGAGGGCAAAATAACTTACTTAAAATACAGTATGCAATTATATCAAAGCACTTAAGCTTTTATTGAAGTTTCCTGGGAAGTCTTATATATTCACAAGGAAATGTTGTATCTGTTGTATTTGTTATACAAAAAGAAATGATATTTTGACATGTTAAAGAAATTATGCTGTCTGTTTTCACCCTTTATCACTTGGCTTCCCTTGATTTCTATATCAGATTTTGAGGTAGACCAGTTTAGTTTCTAGTGTTTCTTAGCAGTGTGGAGATTATATGTTGTACAGAAGTCAGGTATACCTAATGAGTATAGAGAAGGAAAAAGGAGAAATGTTTTTTCCAGACTAGAGAAGTATGGGGAATGGGCAGAATGTCACAATAATGAGCAAGGGGTTGAGTCTTCTATATTCTAAGCCACGTCCTTAGAAATGAGAAAATGAGAATAAGATAAGGGAAACCACTGAATTGGTAGATTTTACTCCATGTTGTCTTTTTGGGAAATTCTGGGACCATGAGTTCCCAAGATAATAGCTTTGCCATCACGTGAAAGAAACATATTTAGTGGCCAGATGGATCATGTATCTTCAAATCCCTGAGGATCCTGAAGATGGTAAGTTTCTGGATACAAAAGTGGAATCTCCAGTTTGTCCTGTTGCCACGGGTCATATAATAGTACTTTTCCTTGTCTTTGACCGGGCTGATACATAATGAAACAGTGACATTTAGCTTGCATGTGTTCATAATGAGAACACTGTAGGACCTCTGACACTGTTTTGATATGAACAGATCATTTCTACATCTTTTTTAAAAATTTTATTTAAGGAGAAAAAGAAAAAAAAGCAAAGAAAGGGTACAAGTTATACAGAATTTCAGAAAAATAATAAACAGTAGGAAATCACTAGTTAATGAATTACATATTGTCATCTTAGAAATATTTGTTCAAGTTACAAAATTAAAGCTTATATAGTGGACATTCAAACAGTGAGACCAAATAGTTCTGTTCAATGATCCAACAAAACTCAGTAATATCATTGTCTATCTTATACACTTAAATATACATGCAGTTATATCGTTTAGAGCACTTTCTTTTCCTCTCCTTTGTACAATGACTATTACACATTTTGGGTTTTATTGCTCCCACAGTTCTTATTACTTTTTAGAAGAGAGTAAAATCAAATGTGACATAAAAGAAGAGAGTCAGTCAAATCAAAAGGGTGGACATAATAAATAATGTAAAAACATAATACAAGGTGATCAACAATGGTTATCATAATGCCTCCCACTATCTCTAATAGAATTCCCAAATCATCAGTTATAATAAAATTGAGCAAAACAGTAAAGAACGAAACCAACAAAACCAAAACTTGGAGACATTACAGGTCTTCAAAAGTAGATAATAGTCAACCAGAATGGGCGTCATAATGAATCCCACTATCCTCATAGTTGTTGCCTATACTTTCGAACCTCGTACTATCAAGCAAAACAGAATAGAGGAACATCAGTCAAAACAAGATGGTGAGAGCAATACAGGGCTTCAAATCAAGTTTATAGTAAATCAAAGTGGATTACTATAATATATCCTGCTATTTTTTAGTTTATTTTTTCCCTTAATTAAAAGGATAAAAATAAAAAAGTAAATAATAAAATGGAGATTGAGATAAAAGAGGGCATAACAACCAAACAGCGCAGAAAAAAACAACCATTTAAGCAAAATAGTGTTTTACCACAAGATAATCCTGACATAAATGTAGTTACCATATTGTCTCTTTCCTTGAAATCTTTGAGTATAACTTCATATACTGTAGCATCAAATATATCAAAACAATGTAAAACCATTCAAGAGAGTGACAGTATTACAGGGTATTTAGAATCAACTAACAGAAAATGAACAACGGTTTCTGTATAATCTCCTTGTCTATAAAGGTTTTTGTTTATACTATCACATATAATAAATCCAATAAGATACAACATGCTAAGACCAATGGAGACAGAAGAGCAAAAGCTTGATGAGACTTCAAAACAAGATGATACTAAATCAGCATTACCTATTATGATGTCGTTTTCTCCAAAATAGCTGTTCCTATCATCCAGTCTTCTCTGCCTCATTTCTATTGAGCTCTTTTTCTGTCATTTGTTGTAAGTTTGTCTTCTTCATTTCGCTTTCTGCTCCATTCATTGTGGCCTCTCTACCACTATTTCTGGAATCTTGGTATTTTCCTTTTTTAGAATATCCTGCAGTATTCTCTGTAAAGTTGGATTGGTGGTTGCATATTCCCCTAGTTCCTCTTTATCCTGGAAGCACCTTGTTTTTCCATCAATTTCCAGGGATAGTTGTGCAGGACATTTCAATCTTGGCTGGAGGTTATTATCTTTCAAAGCTTGAATTATTTCCCCCCACGCTCTTCGTGATTTGATGGTTTGTGCTGAGAAGTCTGCTGTAATTCTGATGGGTGTACCCTTGTAAGTGATCTGTTTCTTGTCTCTGACAGCTTTTAATATTCTGTTCTTATATTAGATTTCTGGTATTTTGATTATTATATGCCTGGGTGTAGCTCTGTTTGGGTTGTAGGTGGCTGGGGTCCTGAATGCTTCATATATCTGAGTATCTTTACCTTTTGCTAAATTAGGAAAATTCTTCTGGATTATTTCTGTGAGTAGCTTTTGTAGTTCATGTCGCCGTCTCTCTACATCTTTTTTCTGAAGAAGCAAGTTTAATCATTCTGATGAAGGGAACTACATCTACCAACCATTTGAAAACAGCTACATTAAACATCCTAATTACATATAATTTTTTTAGTCAAGTAATATCTAATGTGCAGTGAAATCAATCTTTTCCAATTCATCATAGTTTACAACACTCAAACACAAAAAATGGAGGACATGAAAAGCTATGAAGTCACTGAAAACAAGTGGATACTTTGAGATTTAATGGAGGTTAATTTGAAAATGGTGTTTCTTGAAAACACAATAATGCAATCAGATGCAAGAAATAAGTTGGTAAAATTTCTATATAGTTTTATAAATCTAATTTTCTATGATTTTTCCAGTTAAAATTAAAAACTAGACCTTTACCCTCCTAATCCATTTTCTAGGTTTCTTTTCTTCCTTTCTAGTTTTGTATTGAGACTGCTTACTTTTAGTGTTTACTTTAATAAGTTTTATATATTCCTGAAAATGATTTACTAGATCTATGAAACCCAAGAGGTTGACAAATATTTCATTATACTAAAAATTATTGTAATAATTTTTACTCGTTGATAAATTATTACCAAGTAGACAAAATGTATTATTAGGAAATCCCAGGGCTTACATAAAAAATGATAGCAATTTTATATACATAAAATTTAAATAAGCTTAATAAAATACTGTTTAAATCAAAGAACATGCTATTTGACCACAATGACTTCCAAAATAAAGTCTGACTACAGGAGCTTTGTTCATCTGTTAAGAATCATTTATATATAAAACATATATTAATATGTTTTAAATCAAGTAAAAATATAGATATATGATTATTTGAGATGATGTGTTTATTTTATTAAAAGTTTTAGAGACTATCCTTTTTTATTAAAAAGTATATATGTGTATAATAGAGAAGAACATTTTCTAGAATCACTGGTTAAACAGCCTCAAAGTTAGTTTGCTATTTTGGTTTATTTTTAAAAATATGATCTAGGAACCATCATCCTGTGCTTATCTACAATGCACAGTACTAAATCTACAATGAGTCTTCTCAAAATAAATATGCATTTTAATAGAAGCTGCGGGTAATTTTAGATACTTTAATGGGTTGGTGAAGCAATTTGAGATTTAATCTGCCTACTTACAATTTAAAAATTTTTTTAAAAAGTTGTTAATAATTAAATGTAACTATCAAGAAAAAGTGTTCAGAATAACGTGATACTGGTGAAAGAGGAAGTGTCATGGTGTATGTTGTGTCCCCCAGGCCTTATGAGTTTGCATCGTGCATTTGTGATTGGTTCATTGTCTAGTGCTTGGATTGATGGTCTGAGTGCTCCACCCACAGAGGGGTGGAGCCAGGATGTGATGTAATGACAGGAAGAGGGTGTGTCAGGCTCTTTTGCTGGTTTCAGCCTTGCTGTTTGCAGCCTCCATGAACTGTGGCTATGCCATGCCACCCTGCCTTGGAGCCAACTGAGTATGGACTGAAACCACCAAAAACTGTAAAAAAAAATCTTTCCTTTCCCACTTTGTGGGATATTTTGTCTCAGCAATGAGTAAAAAGTAACCAAGACAATAAGCAAAGAGATAAATGAATGCAATAGTGAGCCCATAAATAGCAACACAGAAATATAATCAACTGTGTAT